TGTCAGTCCCCCCCAGGGGTGCCAGAGCTTTCCACTTGTGCTGCAGTGACAGTACACATACCATATAGTATACCCCATGTCCAGGATTTCCGTATGTCCTGCAGCCTGGCTGAAGTTAGTGCTATTGTTCCACCTTGGCTGTGGGACATCAACAAACCCTGGACAAATGTGCAAAGACAATATGATTTGTCTGGACAAGTTTCCTGATGGATGAAAAATGTTTACTTAGAACAATGTTTACTTAGGTGATTAAATTTGAAGGACATAATGAAACATGTCTTGAGTGTAATAAATAAATGACACTGGACCTGCTTGTGCAAGCAAATATATGGCAAGTATTCTTCATTCTTACTCTTTGGAAAGTTTCCGAGTCACCTGGACTTCCCTGGACGTTTGCTGATTTGCCTACATGTAGATATAAAAATCCTAATATATTTTCTTTACTTTTAAAGGCTGATAGTAAGGAGGTGGCTTCTGAATCCAGAGGACCCTGCAGCGTGGGGATTCCTTTTTGCCTCCCAACTGCTGAGACCCTAGAGGTGTTCCCATCCCAGTCCTATGGGATGTTCCTGTTTGTGGGGAGGGTCAGTAGCAAGGGCAAGCCCCCTGTGTGTGTACAAGCACACACACCCGGTATGCTAAGGCAGAGCACTGTATTTAGCAGCACCTGCATGTACCACATACAGTGTTAAGTGCAGTGCTGCTGCTCCTCTCCAGCTTCTCAGGACTGGGGTTCCATGCAGAATCCCCTCACCTCAGTCTTAATTTCACAAGCACAACCCACACTCATGGATTCTCAAACATCACCATGGCCTCCAAGTCCATTTGGACCCTCTTACCTGTGTGCAGGTGCTAACCTGGCTTGCAGTTTGCTAGCCAATTCCACCTACGCGTGCACACACCCGGGGTTAGATTCATGGGTCTCCAGCTGCTGTCCCACAGACCTGCAGTCCCTTTCCCGGCTGCTGCCACTTGGGCTTTGTGACACCCGCACAGGAAATCGCCCGAAGGTCAGGAACGGACGGGAGGGGTCTGCCGGGCTGCGCGGGGGGTGTTTTCAGGCACCGTGGCCAGAGCCACCCCCTCTGCCCTCCCGTCTCCGCCGGTCGGCGCTGCTCGGCGACATCCCCGGCCCCTCTTTACCCCGCCCCGGCCGGGCAGCCGGGCAGAGCCTGTAGCGCTGCCGCCGCGCAATGGGCTGCTCCAGCAGCGCCCTCAGCCCCCGGGAGCCGCCGCCGCCGCCTCGGGGTGAGCTGGGCCGGGCCGGGGTGGGGTGGGGACTGCCCGAGGGGCTGGCGCACGGGGGAAGCCGCGTTGTCGAGAGCCGCGGGGGGGCCTTGGTGCGGGAGGTCTTGTCCGTGGAGAGGCGCCGCGAGGGGCAGGAGTCCCTCGGGTTGGTCCTGGCTTTAGTGCTGAGGGAGCTGCTGGTTTGGGTTGGAAGGGACCTGAATCATCAACTAATTCCAACCCCCCTGCCGTGGGGAGGGGGACACCTCACACTGCACAAAGATGCTCAAGCTGGTCCAAGCTGGCCTTGAGCACTGCCAGGGATGGCGCAGCCACAGCTTCTCTGGGCAACCTGTTCTTGTGCCTTGCTACCCTCATAGTGAAGAATTTCGTCCTAATAACTAATCTAAATCTACTCTCACTTTTTTTTTTCAGGTGTTTCATAAACTGCTTCTTTAAAATGAATCAGTTACTGGGTTCTGCTCCTCTCTGCAGCCTTTTATTTATTATTTTTTTACTTTAGAGACAGGTTCTGCTGTTGCCCTTTTGTGTAACACCTAAATTCAATGCTTCTATTCTCCCATTAAAAATAATAGTGACCTAGCAATACCTGGCCCTCCAGTCCTTCCGTTTTCTTATCAAATCTGTACATCCACCCCAAGACAGTTTACAGCACCAGGAACATTCTTGTGACTATGATTTGGCTCAGGTCACAAAGGATTACTCTGAGTGCAAGGTGTGTTTGTAGGGTGGTCTAGAAGGATATCTTTGCTATTCACTGGAAGTTAAACCATGTTTCCATGTTAATCATATTTTGCTCTTTGTTCCAAGGGAGGTTTGGAAACACTTTTTAGAAGAACCTGAATGCTGCAGTTACAGGTATTGTCCTCTCCAGAAAATCTTCATCCTGAAGATGGATACATAAAAGTTGTTTGCATTTCATTTTACTGCATTTCTTTCCTGTGTACTTGAGCTCTAAACATCATCTGATGATAATACTCTGGCTGCAGCATTCGTGTTTTCTGTAGGGGTTTATTTTCCCATTTGTTGCCTTGTGGTGGTGTGGTTTGTGACTGCAGAGATGGTGGCAGGTTGTACAGGGTGAGTGTTGTCTGTGCCACAACAGAGCCAGCATACATCTGCAAACCGAGGAGCCCCACTGGAAATGTCAGCAGGAATCTCTTCACACTGTACCTGCTGCCTTGTTCACCTGGTCAACGTACCAGATTGCTCTGGCTTTCTGTCTTCTGCTGAAAGGTATTTGCACGGAATGCTGAAGGGCTCAGGGAAACAACTGAAGTAATTTCTGAGTATTTTCAGGAATTCTGTCTAAAGGCCAGAATGTTCAGTTAGGATAGGTTAGGAAATGTACTCAGTACATCAACTGATGTCATGGCAATGATCAAGTGCAGCTTGTAATTACAAATGAATGATCTCCGTTAACTGGGCAGTTCCCAGGCAGACATGTTAGTTATTTTCTAACTTAGTTTAATAAGAGACAATAATTTAAAAGAAATTTTTCTAAAAAGTATTAATAGGGGAAAAAAAAGGTATTTAATTTCCTTGCATCGGTGTGTAACTCACAGACAAGAGAGGCTTTTCCGAAAGGAAAGAAAGAAAGCAAAGGGGAAAATACCGTACCTGTGGCCCACGTACATTCACTGTGCTTTTCATTGCTTCTCCAGCTGAAATTGTCTACAGCGGGGAAAATAAAAATGATGGATTTAAAAAATAAAACAAAACCAGAAGGCATCTGAGGAATGTTGACTGCCACATGATGCTCATTCCTCTTGGGGATAAAGGTATTGAACAGATTACTGGGAGGATTTACTCTTTCCATATTAGAGAATTCTTTGCATTTCAGATGAGAGCAGAGGAATGCTTCCAGGGTTTTACAGCAGTGCAGGGCTCGGGGTGCATGGCAGCATTTTATAATCCAATTTATATGAAACATCTTGGTGAAGAGAGGGCTAGCTGGAATCTACAGGGTTGATGTTTGTAGGAGCTGCAGGAGATACCTGGTAGTAGTAGGTTTGAATTGTTTCTTTTACTGGTTACACCAACTGAAAACTGTGTATAAATGCTGTTTTTCATGGCTCATTTATTTCTGTCTGTAGGTTACAAATGCTCCCTGTCCACCTGGTACCAGGCAAGGTGAAGGCATGAGAAGTATCCAGAGGGTTAAAAATGTGAAAAGAACAAGTCTCTGGTCTCTGAGCATACACTGCTTTTTTCAGTCCCTGCTTAGGATAGCTTAAATTTAAGCCGTTACTCTGATTGGTATCTGTTTCATGTTGAGATTCATGTTAGGAAAAAGAGTACCTGGAAGACAAGGTGTGATAAGAGATCTACAGAAGGTAAACAGTGAAATAGATTTGCTGTTTCTTGTAACACAAGAGCTATGTCTCTTGAAGAAATAACTAGCAGCAGGCTTAAAAACAGTCAGAATGTGTTTTACAGGGGTTTTAAGTGGGCAGTAGACCACATTGCCATGGTCATGGCGGAGGCTGAAAGTGTGAATAGACTGAAAAGGGGCTTTGGCAGGTTCATGGAGGAATGTCCCCTGACAGACTGAAACCCAGCTCCACAGGCTGGGACCCTCTGCTTTTTCCACTGCCCCTGGGCAGCCATCAGGGGCAGGGTGCTGCCCTGGGTGGGTCTGTAGCTGAGCTTACCTTCTTTTTTTCAGGAGTCAATAACTATTATTGAGGAAGTAATAGCCATTATAAATAGGTATGCCTTGTGAAGGGGTTGGTTTGAATTTGGTTTTACACTTTCTGGGAAAAATGAGATTTTACATATCCCATAGTCAGAAGTTGCTTTCCGTCTGTCTTGACAGTCCAGATTCCCTGTTCTTGCTCTTCTCCTGTCATAGCCGTCCTTCCCCAGTAGGCACACACTAACAAGGTGACCCTTATGGGGGAAGTGTTTTCTTGAATGCCTCAAAAGAACTGCAGAGTTACCTGAAGAGCAGCAGTATTGAAGCCTCTCTTTTAAGAGCAGGTCTTACTACATTTTTTCACAGTTCATCTATGTGTGTATAAAGTACCATACAGTTCTGCTCACTGGCTTTGACACTACCGTCATCATTTTCTCAGAAAGTACCATTTGTTCAGTTTTGTAATTATTACGCAGATTTCATACATGAATTCCCCGGGTTTTCACCCTGACATTCCCTTAGAGAAGGTTAAGTACATGCTCTTCTCAAACCGAATTTAGTCAGAAAGTTATTAATTCAGTCAGATAGGTAGGCAGAGCTTATCTTGAGTCAGTAATTTCTATCCTTAAGTACCTGTCAGAGTAATTTTGCCATTTCTTTGTCCATAAGTTTTGCCTGCCAAAACAGCCCATTGCTTTACTTAGCAAGTAAGTTGGTGAAAGGATCAGAAGGTTTAATCTGTTTAAGCTTCTTGTTTTATTAGACAAAGTGTACTATAAATGGTAGCCTAGTATTTAAAAAGACAGACAAACTGGTTTTTGTTTTAACAAGTAGGCACTGCTCACCCTCTGGGACAAGAAAGTTCTTCTTGGTGTTTTTTTGTTCAGCCCCCCTGGAGACACCACCAGAAGTTTCTCATGTACGGCCCGTGGCAGCAGCTCCCTCCTGCTCAGGGCATTGATTCTATGCTTGGTTTGGGGCAGGAAAAGGTGCTTCTTTGCATGCGTCCCACCACCAGGAAACCTTCTGCACACTGCAGATGTATAAGGCAAAATGTAATAGGACATTGACCTGTAAACAGGTCAGCTCTCTTCATGCAAAAATGTATGATGTGCATCAAGCCAAAATGTTTGGGTTTCTTTTTCTATGTAAGAGCAGCACCATCCTCTACTTAACATGTGTAAGAACAGCAGACCTGTGGAGAAGTATTGTCCATAGCCATGTGGGAGCTCTTTGGCAGCTAGTGCTTGTGGACTGTGCGTCTAGTTCTCACGTAGTTTACGTGCCACCTCAACAGTCATCTGTAATTCTCTTTTTTCTCTCCTTGCCCTGCTGTAACTGAAAGCTTCATCTGGTGAAAACACCCCGACTGCAGATGATCACGAAACCATAGCTGATCAGACACAGCTGGACCCAGTGGAGTGTGTGAGTCTTGCCTCTGAGGAGACAAACCTGGGTGAGCGTCTGCCAGGAGAGGAGCCTGCAGCCATGATTCTGGCCATAGAGGGGAAGACAGATTCAGTCAGTAAAAGGGAGGAACCAGAGGGCACCGAGCCCCTGCCTGCACAAGAGGAGGAGAGCTCTGAGCTGCCAACTGTGTGGCAAGAGGAGAGCAATGGACCTTCACCTCCAGCACATGGAGAGGATGCAGGAGCACCATCCCCAGGACCAGCAGAGGACAGTGGACTGGTGGAGGACAGTGACAGCTCTGTAGTGGAAATCATCAAGAAAGTATATATTACTGAAGAGGACCACCTCATTGAGGGTAATATTTGTGTTTCCATAAATCCAGGAGACCAAATTCTGCCTCCAGGGACTTGTGTGAGGGTGGATTTGACTTTACGGAGAACCTTGCATGAGCTTCTGGAGTCAGAATTTGGTCTGGGGAATCTGTACAAGGCAGGGTGTAGAAGGATGTGGCTGGGGAAGCCTCAGACTCACAAGTCCAAGCTGTAATAAATTTAATCAGCATTTCCAGTCACTATTTCTGCTGTTTCATTCCATGTCCTTTTGGTTCTTTGCAGGTAAAATGCCCCACCATACCTCTCATTTAAAATGTTGTGGTTTTGTGTAGCTCAGAAGCATTCTTTAGTATTTGCAGGTACTAAAGGCTCTATTACTTAGTCACACGTATTAATTATAAAGCAACCGTCCCTGTGCACATGAGGCTGAAGGTTGCATGCCTGGATGTGGAAGAAAAAGCATCTCTTTGATGCACCCTTGGCATACCCAGTCTGTCCTAGAAGCTCGTCTACTCCACAAGCAGATAGTAGTAGTGACAGAACCAGGGGTAATGGCTTTAAGCTGAAAGAGGGGAGATTTAGATTCAGCATTAAGAAGTTCTTCACTATGAGGGTGGTGAGGCACTGGAATGGGCTGCCCAAGGAAGCTACATCTGCCCCATCCCTGGCAGTGTTCAGGGCCAGGTTGGATGGGGCTTTGATCAACCTGGTCTAGTGTAAGGTGTCCCTGCCCATGGCAGGGGATTGGAGCTAGTTGATGTTTAAGGTCTCTTCCAACCCAAACCATTCTGTGACATAGGGTTTGGAGATGACTAGCTGGGGAGAGGCTGCATGAGGAAGCAGTGGTGTCTGAGACTCAGCTGTTTCCATGTGCTGTGAGAGGGACCTTTAGCAGGAGGTGTGCGCATCTTTGGGTTAGTGCCCAGAAGACGTCTTCCATGGACTGCACATTCAGAAGGTGAACACTTCAGGAGGAATCAGATTTCTTCTAAATGGTACCAAGCAGCTTGGTGTGGAATCAGATACTCCCTGGGGGAGCATTTCCTCAGGGAATAAGCAGGTGAGGCACATCAGAAGTATTTCTGTGCAGGGAGAATGTGGTATCTGCAGCCTTCCTCACTCCACACTTGCCTTGAAGGAGTCAAGATGTGGGAGAAGGACTGATCTCTGTGAAGCTCAAGTACATGCACTACCACTAACCATGTGGCTTTGCTGTGCATGTCTCTGAACTGGCTATATATATCTGACTCTTTGTATCCCAGGAGCTGAGCATGGTGGTTGGCTTGTCCTCCCATGTGTCGTCACAAACGAATTTTGAGATTTCCTCTACATAAAACGGGCATCTATCCTTTGGAATAAAGTCTCATTTATGTAAGCAGTGACTGGGTGCTCACCTGTAAAACACAAAGTCTTGCCCAGCTGAAAACTCCAGTTTCATTTATCACCATTCCTGAACTGCAGGGCATAGTGCTGGAGGCAGGGCAGCATGCCCTGAGTGTTGTGGTATGACCTCATGTCCACAGAAACACATTTACAATAGACTGTTCGCCTGAAGACCAGTTATGGGGCTTTGACCACCAAATGATTCATGCTGCTTGCAGGGCAAATGAACCAAGGCTTTTTGGGAAAAAGAGTTTTGCTCTGATTTGTTCCAAGCTAGAAGTAACATCTTTTGTGCATTATCTTTCCATGAGACACATGAGGAAGAAGGGACCTTCCAGTTTTATGTTGTGATGCATATGATACTTAGCGTTTGCTTTGCTTTCCTTTGTTCTTCAGCAGCTGTGCAAGTAAATTAATTGGATAGGAGCTTCCCAGCTTCAGCCAGACTGGCACATTACACTGTTTGCTATTTCTGTTTTGGTCCAATTGCAAATAAACCTGCACACATGTAAAATAAAATCCAGGAAAAATAATTTGAGCAGATACAACATTCATTATATGTATTGAATAGAGTATCAAGGGGATTTTGTGAAAGCATCAGAACTTTACAGGCATGAGGCATGCATGTAGCTGGATGATGGAAAGTGACTAGGAGTATCCTTTAAGCTTTAAGGATCAGCTTTAACCTAAGGGAGGGGACATTTATAGAATCATAGAATAGTTAGTGTTAGAAAAGACCTTAAGATCATCTAGTCCCTACCCCCTGCCATGGGTAGGGACTCCTCACACTAAACCGTGTCACCCAAGGCTCTGTCTAACCTGGCTGAACACTGCCAGGGATGGAGCATTCACAACTTCTTTGGGCAACCCATTCCAGTGCCTCACCACCCTCCCAGTAAAGAACTTCCTCCTTATATCCAATCTAAACTCCCCCTGTTTCAGTTTGACCCCATTACCCCTTGTCCTATCACTACAGTCCCTAATGAAGAGTTCCCCCCAACATCCCTATAGGCCCCCTTCAGATACTAGAAGGCTGCTATGAGGTCTCCATGCAGCCTTCTCTTCTCCAGGCTGAACAGCCCCAACTTTCTGAGCCTGTCTTCATACGGGAGGTGCTCCAGTCCCCTGATTATCCTCGTGGCCCTCCTCTGGACTTATTCCAACAGTTCCATGTCCTTTTTATGTTGAGAAATATATTTAGTCTAGAGTTTAGGAATACATTCTTTCCTGTGAGGGTGGTGAGGCGCTGGCACAGGTTGCCCAGAGAAGCTGTGGCTGCCCCATCCCTGGCAGTGTTGAAGGTCAGGTTGGATGGGGCTTGGAACAACCTGGTCTAGTGGAAGGTGGCCCTGTCCATGGCAGGGGGTTGAAACTGGAACTGTTCTATGGCTTCATTCAGGGGGTACCTTGGCAAGGGGCATTGCAGAGCTGACAAAGCAAAACCAGGTTTACAGAAATGAGGTGGGCACTTGGTGCTTTTCTTAGTGTTCTTAATTTTATCTCTGTGGTTACTGTTCCCAGGTGATACCGGAGAGCAGGTGGAAACTGAGCTGCTCAGTGGGACGGTAAGCAGGGGGTCTGAAACAAAAGAAGAAACAGGAGAAGCTGTGGAGAGTGCTTCAGCAACAGAGATAGGTATGTTGACAGAGGAGGGAAGGACCGTGTGGGTTATTGTTTAGGAGACAAAAAAGACGCGGTTCTTAATGAGCACATCTTGTCATACCCCTGCCAGTGTACAGCTGCTCTCTGCATTTCAACACAAAAGAAGAAGTCATCAGTACTTTTATTTGCATTAAGAGATATTGGAAGCACTCAATTGGAAGTCATGCTTTTTACATGGGTTGTCACCAGGAATCTTACTGTTGATAAATTATTCCTTTGTTGGGAAAATGCCAGGCTGAAATATACAGTTTTGGAAAATTAAAACCCACATTAAAATCATGACTCTGATCATTATTATTTGCAGACTTGTTTTTATGAGCTAATGCCTTAATGGTGCTTTGTGAATTCCATTTTATGACAGACAGTTGTTTTAGATCCCCTTGTTCTCCTTATCGGCTGAAATCTGCAGTGTAGTACTGGGACGAAAGTACAGCTCGACTCAAATGCAGTCACATGGTGGGAAGGAGAAATCACAGGCCAAATAAAGTGCCTTTGGAAAATCATCACACCAATGAAGAGAAGGATTTGAGGGGATAGGATTGTCTGTCTGGCAGTCTTGGAAATTATGTTCACAATTCTGTCATCAGTCTTTCTGCAAAAGTTGTTTTTTTTCTTCCCCCGCATTCACTGAGAGTGTGAGAAGGTGAACAATCATTTTTTTCTCATTTTCGCACTTATTTTTTCTGAACCCATCACATTTGCTTCCACAGAAGGCAGAGCTTAGCCCATGGCAGTGCTGGAATGTGGAAAAGGATGAGCAGGCAATGCAGACACCTCTTTCCTTCCCCCAGTGAATGTTACTGCAGTGACTGAAATGGAACAGTGGCTGTTTAAATCTGGATACTGTTGTGTAAGGGAGACATTCTTCCATCTTGAAAGGATATTGAACAACTGAAACAACATTCTGGGCAGGGAAGCAAGATTGCTGAGGGGAAAGGAAAAAATCTTACTTTGAGAGAGATCAAAACCACTCAGAGCCTTCCCCCTGAGAGGGTATGACTAAGAGGATGTGAGCTGATCCTAGTGCAAAATAAATACTGCTCTGAAGGTAGCTGAGGTCTGTCTCTGAACAGGGGAATGCTCAATGACACACTAAGAGCAGTGAATTCAAAACCACTAGAGAGATTTATTTTTTTCACACTGTATTAGCAGTGTTCATGCAAATTTACTGTCAGGCTCTGTCACGGAGAATCACTGCAGTTGGATGTCTCTCACCTGCGTCTTCATGAAAAATTGCCATCTTCTCTGTGTTCCCTATTCAGCCTTGTGGACTACCATTCACTATAAGGAAGTCTCATGTTCCCAACCTATTCTTGAAAGATCTTCTTGTTGGAAAACAAGTACTTAGAGCTGGGATGGTCTGACACTATGATTTCTGCAAGTCATCCCCTCAGGCACCATCTTTTAGCTATTGAGGAAGTCACCAAGACTTGTCATTTCTCAGCTGCTGGTGATCAACATCTGTAGTTTCAGGGGTTGGTAGAGGTTCTTTAACCATCCTTTATCATGGAGTGGAGTTTTTGCTAGTCCTGCTCAAAGCAGGGTCAGCGGGAGCAGGTTGTCCTGTTGGGTTGTGAACATCTCCAAGGATAGAGACTCCACAACTCTGGGCAGCCTGTTCCAATCAGTCAGTTGCTCTTACACTTAAAAAAAAAGGTTTCTTACATTTAAATGTAATACCCTGTACTTGAATTTATCCCTTTATCTCTTGTCCTTACTTAAGATTTAATGTCTGCTTTTGTGTCAAACATGACAAATTATCAAGTGATTTCAAAAGTTGATAAGGGAAAAGGCAGCAGGGTGGGGAGGAGCGTAAGACTGGAGGTTTAACTGGATTTCACACAGGTGACATTAATGACTGTAAGAGGGAGATCGTGTATGAGTGGGATGGCGGAAAAGGGAGCAGAGCCAGTGGCTGCTTGTGGCTGTTTCAGAACATCCATACAGATCTGTAAGAAGAGCAGATACCCCGTCCATCCTTTGATGCTTCCAGGAAACGTTCATTTTGAATTCCTGTAAGATTTAGTGGATATCAAGTTGTACCCTCCATTAATTCTTAAATTAATTTTTCCATGTGTTTCAGAGACAGCTAGTAACAAGGAATAGAAGCTACGTCTCTATGAACATGCTCTTCTTGGGCTTGCTCTTCTGTCAGCATGAACACTTTCTAATGTTATTGGGCTGGGAAAACAAAAAAGCTTTTATGGATTGAGCCATAAGCCACAGACATCAGTAAGAGGCATCAGAAAAAGCTTTACGTGATATACATTTTTTGAAGTCAAGATGCCAAGACTTCAAGCATTTGGAATACCTGAGCTGTCACCTCCCTGCCACAGAGTGCCTTCTGCACACAGCCAGCACAGTGGGATGATTTTCCAACAGCAGAACAACCGTTCAGCTTTCAGTAAGGGTTTTTTTCCAGGTTCAGATAACTAACTTCAAACCTTTGAAACCTCCAACCAGCATTCTGTAGCATAAAGTCCATAGTAGTATGCAATTTCTCTTCATCCCTGGACTGACAGCATATAGAGCTGCTGAAGTGCATAGCACAAAAAGGACTGGAAGATGAAAGTGCCCATTTAACCAGGCTGTAACTAAATGCAGAGGTTAGTTTTCCAGCAAATGGAAGATCCACAAGGTGCAGTGTCCAGGACCCAAGGGGGTGTCTGCTGCTCACTCTCCCAGTTTTAAAAATAGGTGAATTGAAAGGCCAGTAGTACAATATGTGTGATGACTTCTGCAGAAACAGGGAGAAAAGGCCTTTTATCCGAGAGGGATGTTTTAGTTTTACAAATCCCAGCACATGTAAAATACAACCTCACAGCACTGCTGGTGATTAATAACCTATCTTTAGCTGTACAGCTCCTAATGCACATTTTTGGTTTCTAGAACAAATTTCTAAACAGAGACACATATAAGCCTGTTCCCAAAGGAGAGATCATCTATTGTATTTCCCTGCACTGCAGTGCTCAGGAGCAATATGCTTCCAGGGACTGCCTGGGGTATTTTCCAAAATGCTAAATAATCATTTTGGAGCAAAAGCTGACTGGCAAAGCTTTCAAATTTCCTATGAAAACAGGCCCCCAATATAATTGGTGCTATGGATCAGACTGAGAATAGAAATGTGTTCTGATGGTAAATATTGCAAAGGGACTATCTATTATATGTTATTGGGGACTGTTTACAGGATTCTCTGGCATAAGGAAGTAGAACAAGGAGAAAAGGTCAGTTATCTAACAAGGGCATGCACATGTTGCTGTTTATTAGCTTTACTGTACAAAAGAACCTCACAGGAATCTTTATTCTCCCCAGAAAATTCTATAAATCCCCTTAAAGACCTATATTTTGTACTGCCTGTGCACATCTGACTCCAGCTGACTTAGGGTTGTTTCAAATAATCAGATTCATGTCCTTGGCTTATCAGCCTTTTGTGTACACTGACATTTCTTGGCTTTATCACTAAATCCAAGATTTTCTGATCTGCACCCTCCTGAACTTGTCAGTTTCATTTAATGTCACCTTCCTGTAGGCAACACCATAAACTTTAGAACCAAAACGAATACTTTTATTTTTTTAGGGTTCTTTTGCTGGTGGATGTTGCGGTTTTATTTTTTTATTTTTACTAGCTTCCTATAATAGAGACATTAAAACAAGCAGCTTCTTCTAATAAAATCTATTGGTATTAAAGTAGGAATTAAAAATTCAGAGGTAGTCAAACTTTTTGTCCATATATGCAAATCATTCCATGACAAAAAGCACCGAGAGATGTACCATGCACCCTGAAGATCTGAGGAGTGGAGGAACCCAGGACCCAGGATGCCCCAGGAACCTTCAGCTGCATCTCACGGTTGGTTTCCTCCTGCAAGCTGAGAATTCCACCAGCACCTATGCCAGCACAGCCCTGCTCCCAAACACAAGAGATGAAATCGGCATGGGAGCCATGCTGCCTGCCTGTGTGTTAGATCATGAACTGCAGCAGTTATATTGAACAATTTTAAAGCATAAATCAAGAGGAGTTCAGTGGTAGAGAACAGCAGCAGTAATAGCAACACAGGAGGCTGCACTTGGAAATAGACTATGAATATACAAGGGAGTCAAGAAAACTTGCTCACCTCAAAGTCACTCTTTCTACCACTGTTGTTACAAGGAAGACAAGTGACAATACACATTCTTACCTCACTGTTCAACATTTTCAGGTCACTAAGCCTGGAAGGCATAATGATTCACTCAAGGATTCAACAGGTCATCTTCAGTCCTTACATATTCTACAATTACAACAGATGAAAGCTATTTTTCCTTTTCCTTTCTCATATATGAAATATGTTTGATGCTGTCTTGAATGGAAGATGTTAAATCCCCTAAATTGCTACAAGATCAAATGCAGCTGACAGATGTATGCTGAACATCCCTGCCTTGAGAAATACATTTGGGTCTAGTGATCATGGTTTGTGTGCTCCCAAAAGCATAAAGGGCCAAAATACATGCAGTTATCTGCCTCTGCAAACTTGGGAAATCAGAGAGGTTGCCAAGGGCAGAAATTGGTCTGTGGATCAAACAGCTTTCTCATGTTAAAGGCTGAGAAGAGGATATGCTCCAATGTCTGTGTTTACAAGATATACTTCCAGAGATATGGCAGTATACCTTAGTTGTTGGTTTGGTTTTAAACGTAATCAAAATACAAAATAATCTTCAGAAATGTTTATCAAAACATAGACAATCTTCAGCCCTTCACTTCATCCAAGATAGAAGTAATCTTTCCATGTCACAGGGGGAGTTGGGCAAGACATTTAGAAAGAACAAACTTAATTTCCAAGCTAACAGGGAAGTTCTGGTAGGAATTTTGTTTCAGTTACAATAAAGACAGCCCTAGAAGAGGTTACATTTGCATGCTGTCAGCTGTATGCAGGCACACTCTTGCAGGATCCCAGAAGATACCTGGCAATTTGGCTGGCTGGGATAGGCTCTTTCATTCAATGAGGAACTATTTCCAGGTACAAACTGCAACAAGAGCAAGGTGCTTGTAGCAGAAGATTGGGGCAGTTTGATTATATGCTTTAGCAGAGAACAAACTTTTATAAAAAGTAGGTACTGAAATTAATTTTTGCATTGTTTAATCTGTTGAGAATACAGTAAATTAAAGAAATAAAAACTACTAAAAGAAACCTAGCAGCATGCTGAAGTATTGGTTTACTTTCACACAAATAGAGGACCTGTTTTGTTGGGTTTTTTTTAAGCAAGGTGATTGAAACAAATTTTAAGTGGCGAAATTAGGATGTCCCATGCTGAATTACAACTTCATATTTTGCACACTTAGCTGTTCAGTCTAGCAAACAAAAAGAACAAAGTGTAACTTACCTCTGGTTAAAACAGCATTTATTAAGTGTTTGTGTACTTTGGTGAACTAAGACCTAAGTGATAGCTGCGATACTTGCTTTTTATAGGGCAGAATGATGAGGCTTAACCTTGTTGTTTTAAAGAATAGAATCAAATCATATCACTCTGCTTAAAAAAATAAGAAAAATTTTAAACATCTCTATGGAAGGCTTATGGTTTATGTTGAGAACTTCTATGCTATAGCTGTAAATAAGAGAGTTTATTTCAGTTATTCTAGAATTCCTGTAACTGAAGAATACATATTCAGATCCAAGCCATCTAAGAAACTGTGCAACTGGTCTCCACCTAAAAGCTAAAAAAATCAGAGCCAAAAGTGGATTTTAGTTCCTGATTTCTTGCAGAACGGCACCTACTTAATGATACAAACATTTTCAATGGAAATGTGTTGCATCTTATTAGCATGCATTGTTTTTCAGGTGTTTCATTTACATTTCAGTTTCAGACTGCCCCTTACTGTAGAAGGCAGTAGTGTATTTACATCACTTTGTACCAGTGAAGTCACACAAGGGAATTCTAGACAGGACTTCTACCAGCAAATGAACAAGAGAGCACACAAATAAAAAATACAAAACTGCCACCTAGTGTCAGTTTCAAGGTTTGCAGAGAGGCTCCATAGCACAAGTAAGGCAGTGGAGAATAATGTGAGAGAGATGATGGGATAGCCATAGAGATCATGCAAGGCCAAATTTGGCTCGTGTTCAACACTGTTGAATTTAAGGTGAACTTAATCCGCTATATAAGTGAAATACATTCCACAAAGCATGTGAGCAAAGATGTAACAGGGAAACGCAAATACAAATCAGGAATCTGTTTAAATGTAACCCAATTTAATTTCATTATTCCTAATTATTTTTAGCTGACAAAATGAAGCAACATTTGCTTTGTGTTTTCTAGAAAGTTATATTCATGTTAGTACTAATCACGGTTTTTCTTACTTTTTGAGTCAGAGTTGTAGAACCTGAACAACACTAATAGTATAGCCAAGGAGAGAGAACGGAGGAGAAGCCAAGGCTAATAAAGTTTATGTGCAGGAGGTTTATATGCAGAAAAGTCAGGTACCTTTCAAAAGCTGTTGCTTTTAAGTTCACTGCTTGAAATACCAAAAGCATTTTATGCTGCTTCTAATAAAAGCATCTGCCATTTTGTCAAGAGAAAGCAAGATATTGCTATAAAAAAATTCATACATTTCTATATACTTGCTGTGACAACCTCATTGTTAATCTTTTTCTATATAGATACCATATACAAGCTCAATAAAAAGCAGGAGAAATGGTCACGCACGTCACATCTATAAGGGATAAATAGGGCTGACTCTTCTCACAACTTTTCAAGTGGTCTTCTGGTGTATGCTAAAGCAGTAACAGGAATGCATGAGAAATAAAAAATATAGTTACTGTAACAGTGCAGCTGAAGTAAAAGGAGCTAGAAAGCATAGCAGACAAGCAGGAAGGTAAGGAACCGTAATTGGGATTCTTCCAATTTATCCAAGGTAGCTGAAAACTTCCTGTCTTGAAGGATTATTTTAATCCTTAAACATTAGGAGATAGATAATAGCCTATTCTTTTGGTATGAATTATTTATTGGATAAGCAAGATAGATAAGGATTTTTTTTTTTAGTATGTATCAAAGCATAATCAGGAAAAGTTTGTTCCCAGAATAGACCAACACAGTTCTGAGATGCGATTATACTTTATTCTCATTAAACAACAGGTTTTTTAGTGTTTTGTTTTAAATCAAAAGATACTCAAAGTTGAACTGCTATGAAAAAGGTTACAGGCAGATAATTAAAACTGATTTATAAAGTTAGCACTTCAGAAAAGCGTAACTGCGTTCTTTCCTGAAGCTGTTATTAACTTTAATCAATTTAACCAATTGCTTCCATATGAAGAAAATATGAGTCTCAATAGTAATCTACTCTGTAAAGAGTTTAAGACAGTTGAGAAATACAGAAGAATTCCCCGAAAGTTAAGATGCACACTAAGCAATTCAAGTGTTGTTTTCCCATTTCTGTAATTTTCTTTCCTATTTAAAATTGTTACTGAAAACCTATTACAAGTCATTACAGTTTCCCATGTTCAGATCAGTCATACTATAACTGTCATACATTCACCCAGATGTGCATTTTAATACCTGAATATCCAGTGACCATCATAAACTACGGGCCCTGTGCTGCAATCAAGCTCAGCTCATTTTAGCAGGACTCCTGGAGATCTCAGGGTTTGCTGGCAGACAACTCACTGCAAGCTCATATTTTACAGGATTGAAGGCCACAGTCCAGAGGAAAGCACCCTTCCTTGGTAAGTTCTGGATAGGCTGCACCAATGGGCTATTGTATGAGGTTCAACAAGGCAAAGTGCCGGGTCCTGCACTTGGGCCACAACAACCCCATGCAACGCTGCAGGCTTGGGGAAGAGTGGCTGGAAAACGCAGCGGAAAAGGACCTGGGGGGTGCTGACTGATGGCTGCTGAACATGAGCCACCATTCTGCCCAGGCAGCCAAGAAGGCCAAAGGCATCCTGGCCTGTATCAGCAATAGCGTGGCCAACAGGACCAGGAAAGTGATTGTCACCCTGTACTTGGCACTGCTGAGGTCGCATATCAATTCCTGTGTTCAGTTCTGGGCCCCTCACTAAAAGACAGACATTGAGATGCTTGAGCAGTTCCAAAGAAGGGCAACAATGCTGGTGAAGGGTCTGGAGACTAAGTCTTATGAGGAAAGGCTAAGGGAAGTGGGCTTGTTTAGTCTGGGGAAGGCTCAGAGGGGACCTTATCGCTCTCTACAGCTACCTGAAAGAAGGATGGAGAAGAGGTGCCTGGTCTCTTTTCCCAAGTAAGACACAACAGGACAAGAGGTAATAGCCTCAAGCCGCACCAGGAGAGGTTTAGACTGGATATTTGGAAAAATTTCTTCACAGGGAGGGTGATTGGGCATTGGAACAGGCTGCCCAGGGAAGCAGTGGAATCACTGTCGCTGGAAGTATTCAAAAAATGCTTAGATGAGGCCTTCAGTAACATGGTTTCGTAGTGAACTTGGCAGTCCTGGGATAATGGTTGGACTGAATGATCTTAAAGGTCTTTTCCAACCTAGCTGATTCTATGAAGTTTACTGATTTCAATTGTGTAACCACTGATAGTCAAGTGTAGAGATATGATGGAAGGGAAAAGTATTAAATCTAATACTGCCTTTGTAGAATAATCAGTCTCTATTATAGTCAGGCTGAAGCATCTTGGAGAGGTCCCTGAACGGCAACAGCTTCAATCTCAACTCGGGCACCCTGTGAGAAAACAATGAAGAAACATATTAAGAATTTAATGTATCTATTTTATGAAGCAACTGGATGTGTAACACAACCTTGTACCAACAGGATGATATTTAAGGGAGGTTATACTGCTGACAGTGGTTTTACTAATTTAGCAATGTTAGGTAATTTTGAAAACACACTTTACTCTTACTTAAGTATCACAGAATTATAGAATAGTTAAGAGTTGGAAAGGACCTTAAGATCATCTAGTACCCACCTCACCGCCATGGGCAGGGACACCTCACACTAAACCATCTCACCCAAGGCTCTGTCCAGCCTGGCCTTGAACACCACCAGGGATGGAGCATTCACAGCTTCTTTGGGCAACCCATTCCAGTGTCTCACCACCCTCCCAGTAAAGAACTTCCTCCTTATATCCAATCTAAACTTCCCCTCTTTCAGTTTTAACCTGTTACCCCTTCCCCTATCACTACAGTCTCTAATGAAGAGTCCCCCCCAGCATCCCTGTAGGCCCCCTTCAGATACTAGGAGGCTGCTATGAGGTCTCCATGCAGCCTTCTCTTCTCCAGGCTGAACAGCCCCAACTTTCTGAGCCTGTCTTCATACGGGAGGTGCTCCAGTCCCCTGATCATCCTCGTGGCCCTCCTCTGGACTTCTAGTATTGTATCCATTTTCATAAAGAAATTTATCTCTCATACTCAGATCTCATATGATGTGTAGGAATAAGCCTGGTATACTTAGAAAAAAACCCTAAAGACTTAAAGAGTCTTCATTAAAATAATGACAATTGAAGCTGTTCCAGAATAAGAACAGCTGTCAGAATGTTTCAGAGGTAGGGCATTTCAGAAAAATCTTTTTTTTTTTTTTTGTAGGCAGAAAAGGCACTTACTTTGGGCAAAGCAGCAACCTGATAGGCTGCTCTGGCTGGGAAGTTTGTCTTGAAAACTGTAATTTAAATAGAAACATGCATCAATCACTTAACTTTACCTGATGAAACACAGTTCAAAGTTATCTGTATAAAATACAGACATTAGAACAGTTTCAGGGTCAAGGCTACAAGACAAATAATATTCTGTGGCAGCTACTGGTTCCCCTTGGTTTTTATTTTTTTTCTGGTCACTGACTGCACTAACATCTCAGCAAGCTACCACCACTCAGCAGAAGCCAGCTACAGTTGTGATCAAGTGGCTAGTGCTAACCTGCACTGCTGTCACTGCATGGCCTTAACACCAACTTGGCTGAAAAAGGAAGACTAAATCAGAATAGTGATCATCCAATTACAAACACCAGGGAGTGGGTGAGGGCCCTCTCACAGAAAGAGCAAGAGAGAGTAATAGGTCCCTGCCAACAAAGTCATGAGCAAAGATCCCCAACAAACCCCCAAACAACAACAAACCCCCCAAAAAGTCATGAGCAAAGATCCCCAATGAGCAAAGGCCCCCAAACAGGGCCCAACCTTACTCATGGACCATAACCAAGTCTTCATTTCCTTCCAGATAGGGCCCCCATTTTCCCTGCTCTTCCTTTTACTATCCATGTAGCTACAGAACTTTTTTATGGTTGCCTTTGATGTCCCTGACTATGTTTAATTTAATTCTCTCACAGCTTTAGTTTTTCTTACCCTACCTTTGGCTGCTTGGACAATTTCTTTGCATTCCCCCCCTGTAGGCTTTCTTTTTGTCTTTCATTCTGTCCTGGAGCTCCTTGTTCATTCACACAGGCCTCCTGGCATTTTTGCCTGGCTTCTTCTTTGTCAGGCTGCATCAGTCCTAACCTTGGATCCCTGAATACTAACCATACTGGGGACAATGCAGCAGAGGCAAGAGGTATGGAAGATCAACCTGTATAGATAGCTGGAGTTGATCTTCACATGACACAGAATTAGTGGGATGGTAGGACACCAATCCACAGGAAGTGAGGCTGTGCTTGATCTGGTGTTTGCAAGCTATTAGTTATTTATTTTTAATGTTACATTTCTACTGGAATCTCAAAGAATCTGGAACTATATGATGTCAGTCATTAAAACACTTTGCTTAATGTTAGTATAATTTGTTCCACAAGCCATACTGGTAAAAAAGAAACAAAAGAGTTACTTACACTGCTTGTAAATATCATTAATATCATTGAAGTCCTTCATATCTGCCATCAAAACTGTAGTCTTCACAACTAGAAATTAAATAATCCCAGTTATTTTACTCCTCTGACTTGTCTACAGAAGTTGAAAATCTCATTGTTATAAATTTCTTTCACATATTCTAAACAGTTTGAATATTTTTGCAAACAGGTACTGACCTTTAGAGCTACCACCTAGAGAACCACCTAAGTAGCATACAACAAAACTTTAGGGAACTAGACCTTCCTGACCAGCTCTGAAAATATCTGGTTTAAATTTCCTTCTAAGAGTCTAAATTTCTTCTAAGAGTCACAGAACTGGTAAGCAGATCAATTTAAAAAAGCTGTTGTAAGCCATTGTTGGCAATAGATTACATCATATATCTGTTGCCAAAAGAAGTCCATAAAAGGCCTGAAAATATAGATTTTTTTTTATCCATGACTCCCCAAGCCACCATTAATCCTGGTTTGGCTCCATTATTAGTGTCCTCCCCCAAAAAAGTACTGAAAGCACCTAGAGTATTAACACCACAGATTCTGTAGTCAGTTGCACTCCTGTCTATACCTGAGCTTCCCCAGTTAGAGTTAAAATATTAGTACCATGGGCAAAACCTTTTGGTGAAAGGCAACTTTCCATTGATACCCATCACAAAGACTTTCATGTTGATTTATTTCTTTTATTTTTTAACCCAAACTCATGAGAACAACTGAATGTTTAGCAAACAGCTTTTTTCTTCTTTTTTTTTTTTCTTTTTAAGGTCACTTAATTTATTTTTTTTTAATCCAGATAAAACCACTTGTTTGTCACCATCATAGCAGCACTTACCATTGCTGTAGTCACAGCCTGCAGCTTTCAGGATTTCTCCCATGTTTTTTAGAGCCTAGTGGAAAATAAGACAAAAATCTTTCAACTATCAGCTAGGTTCTATTCAGGTATATATGTAAATCTGAGTTGTAACTTGGCTACATCTATGTTATAGTATAAGTTCACCAAGCAAATCTTCAACAGCCCTCCATGGGTAAGCAAAATCAGAAATTAATAAAAGCAAGCTTCCAATAATACACAAATATTAAAACATCTATTCACTGGAGCCGCATCATAAGCTTACAACCATCTCATCCGTTTACCTCACACCACCTCTTTGCTGCTGCAGGAACAGATGTTTCCTTGAGTCAAGCCAGGGTTTTTACTGAGGTCTGAACATGAACATCATTCTTTCCTCTTTTCCTACATGAAATACAGATTCATCCCCTGACTTCCAAGTGGTTTGGGTAGAAAATGATAAAGAGTTAGGATGGAATTACTTCCTCCTGCTTTTCCCTCATCCTGGAGGGTGCGAAATATGCTCTCCAGGTCTCTTCAATTTCTCATAAGTCCATGTTTAATTAAGCACATGTCAACTCCATTACAAGTTCCTTGCTAGAAGACATCTTACCTGCTTAGCTTCTTCCTTTGCCCCTCCAGAGACAAGCTGCCCAGTGGAAGGTTCTATACCTATCTGTCCTGCAATGTACATCGTCCGGTCTACCAGCACTGCTTGGCTGAAAACACAAGTGACATCTTAGGTTTAATGTTTCCCCATCAAAACATTTAACTACCTGAAAGCACATTACACATCATCTTCAGTAGTTCATAATAATCTCAGAAAGACAGAGGTTATGCACACACACGTCTGCACACAGATTCATACTTTCAATCTGTTTATGCCTTTGGGAAAGCTGGGATCCATGGAAGTGCATAGCTCTGTTTGTGAGGAAATAAACCCCGTTTCTCGCAAAAGCACAAGGTACAAGTGCAACAACACAACACTAAATTCAGCTGCACAGCTTCCACACTGCAGATAGCGCAGAGGGAATGCAAAGTAAATAAACACAGGTTTTGCACCTCCTAGTTAAATATTCCATCCTAATTTGAGAAGTAAACAATACCTTTAATTCATATCTCAGCTGCAGGACAATGAAAAAAAAAAAAAGAGAAAAAGAAAGAAAAACAAAGGAGGGCTGATTAAAAAATTTAATGTTTTACTTCTCAAACAGGCACCATGATAGTGACCTACAGCTGTGAGGTGAAGTCCTGAAGTATTCCTCCAAAGTCATGAATTTGGCCGGGCAGCACAACACCTTGATCATTCCATTCCCAGAACAGTCACTCCCCTCTCACTAAATAACCAAAGTGACCCATTGGCTGGGTTAATTCAGAAGAATGCAGAATTCAAGCTATTTGCAAAACACACGGATATAAATGTCAGGTGTGTTTTTGCTGAAGTAGAGTTAGCAATTATTAATGTCTCTAATTACCACAAAGAGATTAAAAGATCAAAGCAAAGATTTAAGCTACCTAGCAAATATTATGCAAGCAACATAATTTACTTCTCTTCAGCTGGCAATTAAAAATATTTTACAAAGAAGTTACAAAAAGATTCTTTTGAAGGTGTCTGTGGTGTGTCAGCACCATTTTTTCTTATCGCTTCCTATTCCACAAGAAAATGCATTAACAAGCCTCTCAAGTTACTCAAACTTGAGTTAGGCACCTCTCTGCAGTATCTACATTAGGAAGTTAGCTTCCCTTTAATGTCAATGGGAAAAGAAGGGGACTCTTCCACAGAACATTTTTACTACGCCTCTTAACTGACGTTGAACGAGCTGGGTTGTTCCAACTCTTTGACTTCATGGGACCAACCTAATTTCAGGAATCACTAAAATGATTGCAGTTAGGCAATCCAAACAGTGCCATCACTCGCATCTTTCCTTTTACTCCTGTCTTACATTCTTCTGTAATTTCCTAAGGAGAAAAAAATAGCCAGTAAATTATCTGATATGGTAAATACCTTACGTGACGATTATTTTCTCTATCATTGACCAACAAACCTGGAGTAAATCACAAAACTATGCCATTTAAAGAAGATAAAGTAGCAAATCATTTTCTAGCTGATAGAAAATCTTGTTGATAGAAAATGTGTGTAAGAACCAAACACATGCTTCTTTATTTTCTTTCCCACCATGTCCTGCTTTGTTTGAGGCACAGGCCCAGAGGCCACAAACTTCCGTTTGAAGCACAGAGAACCATGCAACAAGAAGGTATGAGCTCTCAAATAAATAAATACTGACAAAGGAATCATAAATAGCTGGGAGGAAAAAAGCTGAAGCGTTCTGATACCACTGTCAGAGCACCATCTGCAGCACTTGTGTTGGGGCCCCTTCTCTGCTCCTCAATTTCCTTCTCTTGATATATCTACCAGTGGAAACCTCCATTCACTAAGACTAATAATAATTCACCAACTAAAGGGTAAACTTTTACTGCAGTCAAATGCATGCGCAAAGCTCAGAGAAACTTCATTTACACAAATTCCAGTCACACTTTAACTTCAGAGGTACCCTACAACTAGAATCAATTGTAGCTACTCATTAACCTCCAATTCAGCAGAGATCTAAGAGTGTCTCTAAAGTGCTTCAGGTTCCAGTGTGCCTAAGTGTATAACTGTACGGACATCACTACATTAGAACATCACCCATGAGAGATGGTGTTAAGAATCATGCTCTTTAAAGCCAAGGACTGCAAAGTTAACCAGATCTTTACAAGACTGATTGTTGATTAATACAAGAACAGTATCTCTGCTGTGTCTTTTAAAAGTTTAATAACATTAATGATACACATATATACACATGTGTCTCTTTATATATCTATCTACCCATTGATCTCAAGATACTGAAAACTGGATGCAGTAAAGGAAATACAAAAGTACAGTAAAAACAGGTCACCAAAAAGGATCTGCTGCAGCAGAAGTAGTAATGCCACTCATATGTCTCAGCTCTTCATTCTTTATTAAGCCCCTATTCCTTTATTAGCATGTTCAGACTCCACAGCAGAGACATAGCAGTTAGTTATTGCGCAACTTTTGCTCCATGGACTTTGACAAGTTTACTGAAAACTGGTAAGCTAAGTTAGTGATAAACTGATTGACATTAGACCCATCATACAATTGACAGGCTGCATAACATGCAGTATTTCATCCAGAACCCTCAATAAGCACAAAATGTTGGAGTGCAGTTAATTCACACAGAAGTGGAGAGCTATGTTGAAGGCTAGGCCAATACAGCCAAAGAACTTGCCTTCCCATGTTTTACAGGTGATATGAGTGGTGCCAGGCCCCTGGCTGCAATCCATTAACAATTTATTGTTAACAGAAGTTAACCTTCATTTCATGCCTCTCGGCTTCCACATTCTGTGTTTCTCCAAATTCATAATTCCTATAGAGTACACACAGTTTGAAGCTCAGAAAACTCAGTTTCAAAGTAATGGGGATGAAATGACCTGAAAGGCAGTAAGATATTACACGTGAAAAAGTTTAAACCAAAAGAGTCTGTATTTATACTGGGAAAACAAAGCCTGAAAGCATCATTAAAAATTCTTAGAAAATGCTCTGGTAAAGACCGCTTGATACTTTAAACTGTAAGAGTCTACTGTAGCTACTGATTTTTTTTTTTTCATATCCAAATAGCAAAGAAAAACCTTTCTCCAATTAAAACTGGGTTTTTTTTTCTTACATTTGTAACCATTGCAACAACTTACTTGTGAAAACATCGAGCAACATCTTACCTATTTTTACAGCTGCTAGTTTTAGACTGAAAAGCATTTATAACTTGCTAGCAGTCATAACAAAAATACGAAAAGATTTGCAATTCCCAGGCAGTGAACTCTCTTAACTGCGAAGCACATTCTGGATTTGGTTCAGCCTTTGCTTTCCACCACCTCCTAAATCAGCATTCACTGCTAACTCCCCTGTGACACGTTTTTTTCTAGGCAAACAAATTTCATTAGGAGGAATCATTCTTTCTGATTTTTTTTCCTAATTTACTGCTTTTCACTAATTTCATAATTATTTTCCCAAACTGACTTTCTGAGAGACATTTTAAAGCCTCACCTAACACGAATAGGGCCATCCTGCCGCAGCCAGGCTGCAGCCCCGCCGCTAGCACTGCGGACCGATCCGTGCTGTCGGACCACCAGTGTCCCTGGGGGTTACCACGGAGGGGACCGGTGGCTGCTGTAGGGGGGGCGACTCACCCAGGGCTGCCTGACAGATCCCCCTCCATGGACCTGCTCAAAACCCATCTGCAAAACCTGCTCCCGCTCACTCCTGCTTGTACCAAGAGCTCTCTCTTGATAAGGCATACCTGTAGGGACCCAGGGCAGCGGGAGCCTTAGCGGTGCTGATTATCTTCTTCACGATCGAAGCCATACCTGTCACTACCGCCACTACTACTCTCGCCACTTACCTATCCTCCCCGCAACACCCCACAGCTACTGCCTGTCTCGCGCTGTCCCACTCCCGCCCCGCAGAGGACTCTGGGAAATGTAGTCCTTGGAGCGGTGGGGTGCCCTGCGCGCATGCGCGGAGCGGTGGTTGTGGCGGCAGCGTGCGGCTCGTGGAGGCCGCGCCGTGAGTGAGTAGCGGGTTGGTACCGGTGGTTACTCCGCTTGCGGCTGCACCTCCTGTCTAACCTTCCCCGCCTCTCCGCCGCCAAGGACAGGCTCGGCAGCCTTCGCCGGGCGCCTTCAGGGCCGCCTGTGGAGTGTGTTGGTGTGACCCTCCTCTCCCAGCGCCCCCCGGGCCCTGCACCAGATGTCTGGGGCGAAGGAGAAAAAGCGGGCCAAGAAGATGAGGAACCAGCCGGCCAGCGTCACCCTTCCTGCAGAGCCGGGGCCCTTCCCCGGCGGCGGGAGCAGGGCCTGCCCGACCCCAGGTAAGGTCGCGGAGGGGCTGTTCCTCAGCCGCCTGTCGGGATCTGGTGTCCCCGTCCCCTGCGGCCGGCGAGGCGTGCTCGGTGTGGGGGCCCATCAGGGTTTCGTCCCCTGCCGTTGACTCTTTTAACCCTGATTTTGCCACAAATGTAATTAATATGCGCTTCTCGGTATCATCCCTTTGGTTACATGACAAATCTCTTACCGCCTACTGCAGTTTCTAGCTTTAAAATTAATTCAGTGCTACACCCCATAAAGTGACTTCCCTCCTCTTTCTGTAAGACCTGGGAGGCGCGGGACGAGCCGGTTTAGCCTGCTGGCCCTGCGATAAATGCACTGCTTTTCCATCAGATCAGCGTGCCCATCCAATTCTCCTTTTGGTGCTTGTGGCTGCTGTATCTGTGGAATAGTATTGTCTTGAGGTAGCAAGGCATTCCCCTAAAATAGCAGTGTTGCTAGGTCATTTCTGGAGCATTTGGTACACAGGTAACCTCTGCATCTGAAGATCCTGTCAACCTGTATGCCACATCATCTTTGTTTTCACCTGCATCCTTTATGCTTCAGTTGAACTTCTGATTTCCACATCCCTTCCTCTTCGTGTTTTTATTTTCTTACCTATGTTTCTGTGAAAGCAGACACACGTAAGAGCAGGGCCTGATACTGTGAGGCCTTCAGAAGCTGACAAATTGCATCTTTGTGGTTGAGCAAAAAAATGTATCACGGTATATTTAGGTGACTGAAGAGTTTCTAAGCGGACAGAATGACACAGCAAATTATGGAAGATTTTATGATATCATTGCAGGAGTGCAGGCAGATTAAACTCATTTTTCTAACATTATATGTAGCAGGTAACTTGTAAGATAACATGGTTATGTGTTTTCTGTCCTGTCAAATAGCATGCATGTTCTTCAGTATAATATTTTTCTGTAGTGTATTTTGGTTTTATGGGCCTATTTTGTAGAAACAGGAGAAAAAAAATCTAAGTGGGGGTTATGAAACTATGGATCTACATAGTACCTGGACTAATTTAATTTTTCTCTATATTCAGTCACTGTCTTTGAAATACTCTTCCATCTTCTGATTAAAATATTTAGTTCCTTCATTCTTGGGCAAATTGGATAATGAATGGTGTGTTTGTGATATGAGTTATTTGCTGCAAGTCACCCTCCCATGATTGATTTAGGCTGTAGTTCTACACAGATTTGCTGGCTTCAGCAATCTCTCAGCTTAGTTGCCTGGACAGTGCTGCTCTCAGCCATGTGCTAAACCCAGATCAGGGAGTTACTCCACATAAAAACTAACTTCTGTTTTCACCCCAATTTTATTTTTTTTATCTGAATTACTGCAGTTCTGCATGATGTGTGATTGTATCAGGGCTGCAACAGCATTGCTGCTGAATATAAAACTTCAGCTTCATGCTTATTTGAAATGGAAAAATGAGTTTTTTTTCCATTTTAAGTTCATTTACTTCCAGCAATTGATGCTGCTGGAGGTGAATCTGCTCTTGGCTGTTCCTCATGCCAACAGGACAATGGTATAGGCTTGTTTAAGAAGCTGATCAACCTGAAAAATGATTTTTTTAATCTCTTACCCCATTTCTTCTTATACACAGGTTGGTTTTTCACTAGAGACGTTCCCTGAACAGTATGGCCCCATGTTCCCTCGTCTTGATGCAGTGGGTGGGGTGGTGGGAGTGGCTGTCTGGGCCCCTTTTAGTCCAGTTGTCCAGCACAAACTGCTTGAGAACCGTACCTCAAGTCATACTAGAGATCCTAACCAAGATTTAACTGAATAGGTTGAATATAAATTAATCTCTAAATACAGGTTTCGAGGCCCTCTTAAACTTGAAGTAATGTTAGGTACTTGTCATTCTTGAAAGGTATGTGTGTACTTTTAGAAACTTACTGTAGGCTTTTAGTTATCTCATTTCAATATTGATTAAAATGCCTCTATCAGAAAAGTAGCTTATTGTACCAGCATACATCTATCATGCTTACATTATTTATTGCTGTAACAGAAGTATATTTGAGACAATGTATTGGGTTGGGGGTTGGAAATCAAGGGGCAAGAGACAAAATATTAACTTTACTGGTTTGGTACTAAAACCCTGACTAGACAATAACAAAAATTGCTACTGACATTATGTAGACCGATTTTTAGTCACGTCTTTCCTGTTGGATCTGGTAAAGGCAAAGTCTGGTTTGGGTACCATTTTCAGACTGTGGAAAAGTTACTTAATCTACTGCAGGCTTGCTGCAGGTCAGTGCAAAATTTTTATTTCTTCCTATAAAAAAAATATGATTTCTGATGGCTATTTTTGGTACATATATATATGTAGTAGGAGGAATGTGCAGTGCAGTCTTATGAGGAAAGGGTTGCTAGTTACTTAAACTGCTTTGCATTCCTGTTACCTCTCTTCATCTCTTAAACCCTCCAGGAGATGCTCTTTCTGAGCACCGGTATCAGCAGCAGAAATTTTTGAATCCATCATCTGGGCCTTCTTACAGGAAAGACCAGTATTTTCCAAAAGGGCAAAATAGAGGAGAGAGAGGCAGAGGAAGAGGAGGATGGCAAGGAGGACGCCAGAGCGTTTCTGAGGAAATGCCAAGATACATAACAGGTTTGTATATAATAAAAAAGTCATAATTTGTATGTCCAGGACAACTTGCTGGTGATTAATTTTGCTGTCTTTATTTTTGTGCAAAAACAAAACTTAAAACTGATGATACATTCTTCTGTTTTTCTAATTTTCTCAAGTAGTTGTGTACTGGAAGGAATGACCAGCTGCTGTTTAATGACTCCTTTCAGATTTCTGAGCTGAGAAGTTGCACTTGCATTGAAGGATATGTATTTTGGTTTCTCTTTGCCAGCAAAATGAGTACTAACAGTCACTTGCTTTTAATGTAGCCAGTGAAACTGATTTTGCCCATGATGTGAGTTAAAGACAACTTTCCACCTAACAAAATGTTTATTTGGAGATACTAGCTTTTCAGAATGTGGAGATGCTCTAATAATAGATACAGTTACATAAGCATGAAACAAGACCAACATTTGGATTCTTATTTGATCATTTTAAACCAGTCTGTAATGTGATTGCTGCTTTCCTTTTTCCATTTTTTTTTCATACCTTTGAATTCTATCTGAAAAAAACAATAATTTAATAAAGAAGTACTTAATGCAGATAGGACATATTAGTTATACCACAGCTTTCAGATTCATTCATGTGTAAGAATTTGCTTAATCCTATCTGTAAGTTTCAGAGTATCTAAAGAATCAAAATTTCTTCAGTAGTTGTATACAGTATTTACTTCTATCTCAAGAAGACTGATGTACTGGGAATACTCTACTGGAATTCAGTGATGTATGTACAGTGTCCCCTTCTTTGATTTTTGCCATTTGTCATGCTCTGATGCATTCTTTTCATTCCAGTGTCTACTTTTGCTCAAGCTCGTGCTGCTGAGATCAGTGCCATGTTGAAAGCAGTTTCACAGAAGTCTTCAAACTCTATGGTTTTCCAGACTCTCCCGAGGCACATGCGAAGGCGAGCAATGAGTCACAATATTAAACGCCTACCCAGGCGCCTCCAAGAAATTGCCAAGAAAGAGGTACAAGTGTGCTTTACTGTAATTGATAAACTATAGAGTGAGTGAGTACACAGGTTCTCAGGCTTTGATATTTGGCTTCAAAGTGCAGGAATGCCTCCATTTTAGATGGTGGTCTCAAGTCTCAGTAACCCCTTGGCTTTGTGATTATTGGACATCTTGAAAAGTTATTAGAGTAGTGATGACAGAAAGGCCCACTGTGGGAGGGATTGTTCAGACAGTACCTTGGTCCCAAGGCAAACACCTGTCTGCTTTGCACCCCACCACAGCTGTAGCCTGTGACCCTGATGGCCTCAAGCCAGGATGGCCTGTTCATGACCAGCATGATGGTTCATGTGTTATAGCTCAAACGTGGGAGATACACTGGAGTTGTTGGCAGGCTGTGTGCAGCTTAAGACTTACTGTCTGTTCCTGGTTGCTCATGAAACTCATTTTGTGGCAGTGTCACAAGGCTGCTGTGGAGTTATTTGCTCCTTAACCACTATGGCCATCCTGTGTGCTTTTAAAAAAAGGCATAAAAAAGTTGATTCAGTAGGATTTTATTGTGAAAGTCTGTCTGATGTTTGACATTGATCACTGTTATCTCTGTGTGCTTCTTAAAGTGATCAAGTCAGTTTGCTTGGTAAGTTTTCTATGTATAAAGGTTGACTTGAATTCTTTTTTCCTTTCATTGACTTTTTTATCAGTTTTTTGGAGGCCTTACCCACTCCACCTTAAGTTCCTGGAGATAATTGTTCATGATTCAGGAACTGGATTTTAGTTATCTATGGGTACCTTGATACACTTGTGTGGGTGGGGATTGTGCATGAATTTTCAAAGTCTTTGCCTTAAGAATTGTGGAGAACTATCATCAGAATAAAGTCTAACCTAATACTGGTGCTTCCGGTATCTTTATATATGTCAGCCTTTTTCTTCTGCAGAAGTTTGTCCTCTTGAG